ACAATTCATAATAATAAATACATTTAAATTATATGAAATTAAAAATTCCACACATCCATGGCCCTATCCGTCGTACTCCTCAAGGAAAATAGAAACCGCAATAAACAGAATGCGAATAGGACACACATGGYTAACACACCAATATCTGATGAAAAAGGAAGACCCTCCCATTTGTGCCAGTTGTGGTATTCCTCTCACAATTAAACACATCATATCCGAATGCCGCATATACGAAACAAACAAACGGGAAGCTGGTGTAGGTATCCAACATTTTATCAGAAGCCCTACACCCAAACAATATTAATAATTTGATAACATTTATAATTAAGTTCAAGCTTATAAATTGTATATAACCTGTAAATAATTGTATATATATATTATGTAACCTATTGTAAACCAACGCCAATGGCCTTTGACGCCGAGGCTTAAATATAAAAAAAAAAAAAAATAAATAAATAAATACATTTGAACAACATGAAGTAGTAATCATAGAATAAGTAACAATAGAATGAGCAGTTAGTACCTACCTGTTGCTCGATCGTAATTTAAACGACTCGTCTTCACCGTTTGAGGCCGTGTGACAGGTGGGTGACTTATCGCCACGTTCTATCTGTTTGTCGCCTACCCATCGAATGCGAYTACCATGATTTTGTTTTCCTGAATGCCGTTCAACAAAAACATATGCTATGATTTAAATGTTGAGCCTAGGTATGATGCTTACCCTTGCTTACCCACGTGGCATCATAWACAATTGGAATATATTATGTATTGTTACTATTTTTTTTTTAAAACTCACTACCTATGTAGAGTACGATTAAAATATTGAGTTTCTCCGGAAGCTTGTTGGTCATAATATTTACTATTTAATTTAGCATATTTTTTAATAGCTTAAAAATGTATCTATATAATATTATAATTTACTAGCTGAACCCGTGCACTTCGTAGCCYGTTAAAAATTCTATCTCTTTTATGGTCCATAGTTCATATTGTGTGTTAAATTCATTTCATGTGATGATGCTATTAGTATRTTTTTATACATAATGATAGATAGTGGTTAAAATATATTATAATSTTACAACGATATTCAAATCCGTATATCATTATGTAATTATCTCCGTTTTTTCAATATAATGTTGACAATTTAAATATTCAATTCAATTAGGCATAACACTTTCTAACTTACCATATCTTCTGCCCATATGTCTAATAAAATTCTGTACCAAATTTTGTTGCAATCGGTCCAACTGTTTAAGAATGTATATAGGACTAACATCATAAACATATATAACCATCAGTAATAACCACGGTTATCTATTGTAGATAACCGTGGTAATAACCATCACTAAAGCAACCATTTATAAATAAACAAAAATGTCCTTCCTAAAAATAAGTCCAGCTGCTCTCGATAGCACTTGTTTGTTTAAATGGTTGCCTTTGACTACCAAAACATATTATTATTATTTATTTTATTTTTTACTGGGCAGATGGCGCCACTTTAATTTCATCACACCCTCATCATATTTCTCTAACCCGATAACTTTCTCAAATTTTTCATCCGTAAGAACCTTCT